TATGTCCCCGACGAGAACAAAGAAATAATAATTATAATAATATAGGCCTACTAAAAATGAGTTCATTTCCATTTTGATGCCAAATTGGCGTTCCATACAATATCGCCAAAAGTCAAGTGGCACAGTACAAAAATCAAGTGGTGCAGTGCAAAAGTCAAGTGGCGCAGTGCAAAACTAAAGTGGCACAATACAACACAAGTTGCTGTCGTTGAGCTATAAGCTTGCTCAATTTTATCCACGTTTCTTGTAGGCAGTTCTAAATTCTTGTGAGAGTTATGCTGCATGGGTACATAATTCTGATATCTGGATATATAAGGCGAGTTCGATGTTCCATCATGTCTTTGTTTAAACACTGTGTATGTACCTCTTGAGGCGTAGCGTTGTGTAATACAATGTTCCCGAAGGTTATTTGGACGAAGCCTTCGTGGTCTAGTGGTTATGACGGTCGCCTTGTCAGCGAGAGGTCGCAGGTTCGAATCCCGTCGGATGAATTTTATTACACTATTTTATAAGACTTTATTCATTGAAAAGATACAGGGTAGCCTACGATGTTCCATCATGTCTTTATTTAAACACTGTGTATGTACCTTTGATGATTTATATTATACTTATTCAACAGTGTTAACGACTAACTCCCTTCAATATCATATATAATATACGACAGTATTTCTAGCCGTATTGCCAGATTAATCTGGCCGAACGCCCTTTTGAGGCGTAGCATTGTGTAATACAATGTTCCCGACGGTTATTTGGACCTGTTAAACCATGAAGCCTTCGTGGTCTAGTGGTTATGACGCTCGCTTTGTCAGCGAGAGGTCGCAGGTTTGATTCCCGTCGGAGGCATTTTATTACACAATGACTTTTATAGGACTTTATCGTTGAAAAGCTACAGGGTAGCCTACGATGTTCTATCATGTCTTTATTTAAACACTGTGTATGTACCTTTGATGATTTATATTATATTTATTCATCAGTGTTAACGGCTAACTCCCTTCAATATCATAATATACGACAGTATTTCTAGCCGTTTTTCCAGATTTATCTGGCCGAACGCCCTCTTGAGGCATAGCATTGTGTAATACAATGTTCCCGTCGGGTATTTGGACCTGTTCAACCATTAAGCCTTCGTGGTCTAGTGGTTATGACGCTCGCCTAAGTATAAAGAAATAAGAAAAAAAAATACGAAAAAAAAAACCTCTCTGTCCATTTACGGGAGTCATGCACGGCAAGTTGGCCCAAGCACTAGTCCCGGGGGGGACAGGTACCCAGAATAAAGAGCCTCTAAATTGGACTCTCTGAACCCCATCGTGATGAAAGCTATTGAACCATTTTAGTGCAAAGCCATGAATCGAATAAAAACGAGGAGAATTGATGATTTTTAAAGATTGAGATTAAAAAAAAGATGAAGTAATTTCTTTATTTTCCCCTCATGCCATTAGACGATAGGTGTAATATAATATGCTACCGTTTGCTTAATATCTTGACGTACAGGCGTAAGGTAATCATTTACTGTTTCCTTAATATCATGATATACTGGATTTTGATCTGTTTCCTTAGGCCTAATATGTTGGAGATCTTGATATACTGAATTTTTATTTCCAGTGTCTGTCATATACGCCATATAAATCTGTTTCGAAATACGAAAAAAAAAATAAAATTGTAGTTACGAAAAAAATAATGTTGTAGTATAGTGAAAATCAGGGCTCCGTGACCATTTTTAGGGGACCAAGGTTTCTCTGCATCATTATGGTATAAATGAAATACTGAGCGGGGGGGGGGGGACCCCCAGATAAAGAGCGGAACAAATTTGTTGGCGGCCATTTTCAAAATTGCAGCCAAAATTCAGATATTGGCTCATAACTATTGGCTATGTTCTCACACGGCCATCAAAATTAATGTTATTTTCGCACTTGCGCGCCCAGTAAACTCTTTGGTGTAAAAGTTAGGAAAAAAGTTAAACAATATGGTCGTAAATCGTGTTGGTCCGCTTTAGTTTATTTTTTACCTTGTTTTGTTTTGGTCATGGTTTTGGTTTGCTTAACGTCGCGACAAAATACATGAGCACTGATCATTTCAAAGAAATGACTGACCACCTTTATTTTCATGTAATATATAGAACACCTTATGTATGGTCTAATACCCCACACAATAATATATAATAATTAAATAATATATTTAAAACTAATAAATCCAAACCTAGGCCGTAGCACGGCCGCCTAAAATGATGTAGGTCTACACTTTTTTTTTAAGAACACATTTTATAAGAAAACTGAGGCTGAAATTGCTTAAAAATTAAGAACAAAATAAGAACAAATTGAGGCCGAGGTAGAATGTCAAACTAGAAAAACCAAAAAATTATATCTGTACCTTATGTGCAGTAGGTGTGACTATGTAATACCCTACACTTTTTGGCGAAAAATATATAATGTCTGGAGATTTTTGTATGATCGGAAATGCAAAAAAAGAAGAAGGGAAGAAGGAGGAGAAGGATGGGAAAGAGAATGTTTATCCAGTACCCAACCGAGTTACATTTTCTCGCAATTCACATTGGCGGATCTGGGGGAAGGGGCCATGGGTCCTGACCCCTCCCTTGGGCAACAAAAAAGGGGAAAAAGAAAAGAATTCTAAACCGATCTTTTCAGGACCCGTGAGCTGATTTTTTATTTATTTATTTATTTATTTTGTTGCTATTAGAAAATTAGAATTTTGAAGAACATAAAATTCATTAAAACACACTTCAAATGTCGGGAAAGCTCAATTCCCGCCATCAGGAATCAAAATTTTCCCGGGAGAGAACCCCCGGACCACCCTTTCTTTTTGGGATTTATCGATTCATGGAAAAAAGAATACGCATGCAACTACTCATTTGTTTATGTATGTATACGCACAAAAAATAAAAAATGAGAAAAATTTACCTGACCTTTTCAAGAGGGGAAAACCTTGAATTTTGTAGAACTTTACAAAAGTCATTTCAGAAGTCGAAAAGCTCATCTCCCGCCATCTAGAAATCAATTTTTTTCCGGGGGAACCCGGACCCCCTTTATCTTTGGAGTTCATTGATTAATTGAATCATTTTCAAGGTGGGGGGGGGGAATCTTGAATTTTGAAGAATTTAAAAGACACCGTCGGGAAAGCTCATTTCCCGACACCTAGGAATCAACATTTCCGGGGAAGAACCACAGGACCTCCCCCCACCAACCCTTTCTTTTGGGGATTTATCGATTCATGGAAAAACTACGTATGCAACTTACTCAATCTTTTTTTATGTATGTATACACACATAAGGCATATTTACTGTATTAACAATGGGAAAAAATTATCTGACCGTTTTCAAGAGT